CAACATATTATATATATATATATATATATATATAAAGTGTGACTTGATTTTCGTAGAACAGTGCTCAATACATAGAAGTAGAGCGAAGTATATATTGTGGGAGGAAAAAGACAAGTAAACTACAAGTTCATCCCTACAAGCCTGTTTCGTGGTCGCCCACTCATCAGGGGATTTTATATATATATATATATATATATATATATATATATAAAGTTCTTATGAATGTAACATCTTTTTATTTTACTTCTCGAAATAATAGTACAAACCTAAAACAAATGTGTTATTTATTATTGAAGATTTGATAACGATTTGTGAACGAACGATGCGGGAAATACTTCGCAATCATTCTTCGAAAAAATCATCGCTTCTCGACCAAAAGCACAAACAGCAAATTGAAAGTAATGCTGAAAGGTGATTCACCCTGAAGGCTAAAAAAACGATCCAGACGAAAAAGATGTCATCTGGGTAAATAAAAACACTCAAATTGACGACGCACTAGGATACCTTTACATTTAGAAAAATTAAAATGAGGCTGCAGACTAACGTGTTGCGTATATTTAGAATTACTTGATTTCCAACTCTTATTTTAGTATTTCGTGCCCTTTAGCTTTACTGGTTGTCCAACTCTTGCTTTAGTATTTCGTTCGTTTTAATTGTCAATGTTCCTTAATTCTTACTTTAGTACTGCATGCATTCTAGTTTTCTATGTTGTCCAATTCTTCTTTTTGTTTTTCGTGCGTGTTTCATTTCCATTTTGTCTAGTCAGTCATTCTTTGGTATTAAGTGCATTTCATTTCATGTTTTCCAATTCTTACTTTTGTTCTTTGTACTTTGTAGTCTTTTTGTGCCGAAAAATCTTACTTGAGTATTTCCTACATTTTGATTTTTCCGAGTTGTCCATATCTTACTTTTGAACTTCGTACTTTCTACTTTTACAAACTTAGATTAGTATTTCGTGCATTTTAGTTTTTAATGTTGTTCAATTCATATTTTGGTACTCCGTACATTCTAGTTTCTCTTGTTCTCCAGTTCTTACTTTAGTAATTCGTGCATTTTAAACTCCTTGTTGTCAAATCTTCTTTAGCATTTCGAGCACTTTAGTCCACCTTCTTGTCCGATTCTTACTTTAGTTGTTGATACATTTTAGTTGTCCTTGTTGTCAAATCTTACCTTAATATTTCGTGCATCTTAGTTTTATATGTTGTCTAAATCTTGCTTTATTATTTCCAAATCTTACTTTATTATTTCGCGTATTTTAGTTTTCTATGTTGTCCAAATCTTACTTTAGTACTTCGTGCATTTTATTTTTCCATGTTGTCCAAAATCTTACTTTAGTTTTTCGTGTATTTTAGTTTTCCTTGTTGTTAAATCTTACTTTAGTATTTCATGCTCTTAAGTTTACCTTCTTGTCCGATCCTTACTTTAGTATTTGAATCATTTTAGTTTTCTCGTGGTCCGAATCTTACTCTAGTGTTTTATACCTTTTAGTTTTCCTTCAACAATTGTGAATATACGAAAATCATATATGTGACCTGCAGTTGAAGAAATGAATATGAGAGCGATCTTCGCAGTGATGAACACTACTTAAGCAATGATGAAAATAAGGCTTGAAAAAAAGAACAAAATAAAATTCAGGCCAGAACGGGATTCGAACCCATGACCTTTACGATGCCAGTGTAGTGCTCCACCAACTGAACTAACAAGCCAACTGGGAGCTTACCATTATGTTGGTACGTACTAAACCCGCGAAGTGATGAGTCAACAACTGTGAATATATGAAAATAATCATATATGTGAACAGCGATTAAAGAAGTGAAAATCATATGGGTTCGATTCCCGAACAGGCCTGAATTTTTTTCAGGCCTTATTTTCACTACTGCTTAAGTAGTTTTCATTACTGCGATGATTTCGAAAACGTAACAAAAGTAGTCGATTATAAGTGGCCCAGCGCCTCCACCTTTGAGCATCGACAGAGCACTAATTCTTGTTGTGTGATGGTAGATTAGTCGGCATTGTAGGAGCCATTACTATATCAGCCATTAGGTCGTCAATTATGTTTACCGGTAAGAGGAAGCACTGGCCGAACCGGAATTGATACTGTGCTTGTTGGCGTTTGCCGTCAGATATTGACGCATGCCGTTAAACATTCGCGGTTGCCATTATCTGAAATCACATTGTTTTCTACGCTAAATACTCCTTGATTTTGCAAGCTTTACAGCTGCATGGTATCGTTCTCGTTTCGTTGCGGATGTTTGACTCAAACGATGACAGGAATTCATTACTACTTAGTGTGAAGCCATATGCTTCTAAGATCCAAGGCCGTATTCACTGCGAAGAAAAACGGAAGAAAGATATTTTACAGTTTATTGACTGGTGCCGTACGTTTGGTGTGCGACCCGTACCTCCTTTTCCTGTTCCTTTCGTAGATTTTTTTCTTTTATTTTTAGGGTATCCGAGAGTTCTAAGTTTTACGCTATCCTAGTTACAACACAAGCTGCTCTTAAGTAGTTTTATTCTTTTGATCCTAGCAACCACCCAATCCACCAGATAGCTTACTCCGCTATAATTTGTTAGATGCGGCTAAACGGTGCAAGTCAGTCAAAACTAAAAAGACGTCTTTATCTGTTGACACTGTAAAAAGTACCATTGTTAAGTATCCCGCGAAGAAGAAGAGACTGACCGTACATTGTTTGCCTAGACTTGTCGGGAAATTTTTTATTCGCTGAAGATTCGCTTTAGGAGAGGTGTCACGAGAACACTATCCGGCCTCGTGGAGGTGCAGGTTTATTCCGAGGGTGACACAAGCATTGGTAAGCAGTTTTTGACTGTCCCGGCAATTCACTTTCACTGCTAAGAATCGTTTCGTTCTAAATGGAGCAAGATGTTACCCGTTTTGTCACGAGTATGCGATAAACAAACACTCGGTGTCCCCCACACGAGGTCGAACTCGATTTCTACTGTGTAAAAGGAAATAAAGAAGAGGCAATACGATTAAAAGTCGAAAGCAAACAATTTCGAGTAAAACAACATCCTTCTGACTATTATCTCTTCTCTTCCTGTACGATGGTGGGAAATTAACTCATTAAAACAGACAAATAATAACCAAGATTGCTTTTAAATACATTGGGGGAGCACGCCTTGTTGCATCGATATAACCTTCTTCCGACTTAAAGAGGCATACGCGCGGGGACGCTCTTTTCCACATAAAGTGCCAGTTGTGCAACAGTGAAAAGTTTGGTCCCTTGGTTTTCAACTAGATAATAACCCAAGCCTGCCCGTGGTATTGCTACCTAATTTTGGCACGAAGATACTACCTGAAACTAAAGAGAAATAGGAGTTTGAGCCGATTAAATTTGACACAGACAAGGAAGATGAGGAGTTCCTTTAGGGTAACGTATCAGTAAAGAAGTCCATCATAATGGAAATAATCTAATAATACCTAAGAGGAGATTCGGTAGAAACAAAAGGCCCACGATCTCGGTTTGTCTCGGTTCGTCTACTCAAACACTAGTGGGGAGTAACAAGACTAAGTGTGGATTTTTTGCAAAGACCTATGGAAAAACATAATGTCCAGAAGCCCTAAGTAATTAAGACCCAATGAAATATATGAAGTTCATATATTTTGTACTGCGGTATCAGATACGTATAATGCACGATCCTCGCAGTAGATAGCGCTAGTTAAACAATAACCAAGAGTACTGCTGGGTACCATGCTTGAAAGCTTTTATACAGAAATTCTGCCCTTTAACGGCACGGAATTGCTAACTGGTGGGGAACTTGAATCTGTGGCACCACCGGCTACAGTTAGCGGCGAGTAACCTTCCAGTCCTGAGGGTCAAGTTGCCTGTGCTACCCTTACAACCAAAAAAACTCTCTCTAAATACTCATCCTACAAAATACTTCTATCGATAAGATATCAACGGCAATGTTAGCGTTAATTAAGTGAAACTCGGTGAGTTAACTACTCATAAGATCAGCTTTAAATTCATTTTGGAGCAGTCGATGAGCAAAACAAACCCGGAGTGCGGCTTTCGGGTATCACCTAAGTTATTTCAGACTAAAGAATAAAACTGCAAAGTATAATGATTCTAACTATTTCAGAGAAGTTAAAAAAACCCTGAAAATTTTCGAAGTAAGAAAGTAATGATTTATCTATACGCGAATACCACCTGATGCGTTGGTTATCCTACGTTTCTATCAGCTTTTTTCGGCTAATTCGTAAGTTTTCTTTAATTCCAAGGTATTACGTTTTTTAGTATACCGACGTCTAATTCAGATAAGCAAAACCTTTTGATGTGAAAGCAACAATCTTTCTTCTGACTAATCACTCATGACTAGGGGGGTTTGTCTCGGTATCTGAGGTATCACTTTCATAGTCTTTATTCAGATCAAGGTAAGGAGTTTCCGGCCCTCGTCATCATTTCTTCTATTCTTGTTATCAGCTGTACAAATGTTGCTCTCTCCTCTGCGTCTGCTTTCCAACATCGTATCTGATAACATGTAAAGGATACTGATTTAAATGGGGACATTAACGTTTTATGGAAGTTATCATCTTATTCACTGCTGGTCTAGAGACTGATAAAGGTCGCCTCGACTGATACAACAAAGAACAACGTTTCACCAAATACGCTTTAATAAGTTTATCTGGACCCATCAAGAGGAAATAATGGCACTAATTATTTCCTTGAAATTGCCGTTTTCTTCAAGCACACTTGTTTCCATGTAAAATTCCATAAAAATGCCTTCATTTCAGATTTTCTCAGAATTACTGTCACAATTGTCAGTCATCTTATGAAATAAATAAATTAAAGAAAGTGAATAAAATTATTTAGATTACTACTATCATTGGCACTCAACTTCAATTTTTTGTAAAACCTCACTCATAGCTTCAAAAGGGATTTTCTTGGTCGACTAGGCAAAAAAAACATATTAGTTTAAAAAAATTGATAGCTATGAAATTATCATTAATTGTATAGAACACTTGGATGTTGTTGTTGAGCTTACAGCTCTTCAGAACATATGTCTGGTTTGTCCATTCGATATCCTGACTTAAAGAGTTTGTACAACTCTCTGTTACTTATTCCAGGGTAGGGAATGCCACCCTGGATCCAGATTAGATGAGAAGACAAAAAATAGTTATCACGAGGATTATTTCATAGCAGCTTTAATAAGTCTTGGGACCTTCGTGTCTTAAAGGTGTGGATTAATGGAGGATGTCAAATAACACGTGACATGCATCTCAGCGGTTAGGTCGCTCCAATTCATTTCCTTGGACTCTATTCTTTTCCTTCCCCTCATCTATTTGTAAGACACTCCATCATAATGACGAAATTTAAATTAAGCTGCTGAATCGAACTCATAACTGTAACGTAAGCACTACAGCTAAGGATTTTTTTAGAATTTGAGGAAATCTCCAATCCTAAGCTCTACCACTATCTACGAAAACCCTTTCATATGAAAACTCAGGGTTATTTTGCTTTTCTTTTGGGTTGGTTTTATCTGTGCGTAGCGTGCTATTTTTGAAACAGTCAAGACCAGAGAAACCTCATTTCAGTTGGTACAACTAAATTTAAGTATCTTGTATTGCAGTGCAGGATTCATATTTATTCATTTTATTTATGGCCACAAAAGAGGATGGATACCGTTGCAGGTAAGGGATGGAGCTGGTAAATCACTCACCCATTGTGCACGATTCCCACATAAGTACACCAAAAGACCACCTATTGAAGAATGAGACGAAAATGATCCGATTAAGTTACTTTGTAGGCCTGTTAACAGTTACAGTCAGTTCAGTTGTATGGCGGTTTGTACAAAATATGTGGATCATTACGGTTCTGAACTGCACGCCAGTTGTTTGACTGAGGTTGAGCGTTAGGGTGGGAAAGGTATTCTGGTAAGTTACATGTATTTAAAGGTGTGGGCTAATATTTAATGCTTTTATCGATAAACACGCTGCGAATAGTACTCACACATCACTTTTAGAAGTGCATATGCCACTCTCTAGTGACTCAGGTGCCCTCCAATTGATTGGCAGTTTCTTCGTGGCCTTTACTTCATATATATCCCCGTACATGTGACGTAATAGGCCATAAAGAAAAAAATGTCCGACATGACGATAGAGTCTAGTTTCCCGGTAACTTCCGTGAAATCATGTGCACTTGTAAGGTTCTTTCCAGTGTCAAGGTTATGTTCGTCCTCTGACTTATTAGCTAAGGCGGCTTCATTTGAACTCAAAATACCTTCTGATAAATGGTCCGTGGTTTCAATAATACCACCATTGCTGTTTTCGTATTTTACCTGAAATCGCTTAAAGATGACGTTGGTATAATTCCACTTATCGATTTGGTGAACAAAACAGACGATAAATACGTCAAACCAATTAAAAATTTTCAAAGTTAGACCCAACACTTTCGATAACAGGTACCGAATTTAAACATAATGTCAAGAAAAAATTTGAAATGTATCATCAGCATCCGATGGAAACCCGATTGGTATTTGTACTGAGCAAATCAAGTGAACTTGCGTTTTTGGACTCCTTCTTTTCTTAGCGATGGATCAGATGGTTTTCAAGTATATCTCGGTTTTATAGGTGCACAAAATTTTTACCTGTGGTCTTTTGTTCCTCAGCCACTGAAGAAGATATCCATGTGAAATATATTCCAAGATTAGCATGATTGGTTCTGACCTATTCCAGTAGCCAATCATGTTTAGCACATTCCTGTGGGTTCCAACTCGCTGCATGAACGAAATTTCCCTGAAAAACTGTTTTTTCCCTTCCTCACCTGCTCTTTCTGAAAGGGATATGATAAAATAGAGGGTAAATAGGTTCTCAGTTAAAATAACTGACGCTTATATTTGCCCAATGATTATGGAGTAATGATCACAATTTTTCTCAGTAAGTTGAACTGATTGGCGGGAGAGTTACCATGTTAAATTATTTCATAGTGACTGATTGCTCATAAGCTCAACTCAATTTTCGCTGAAGCTCATATAATGATTTCGACAAGCCGGATAGCCACAAGTCGACAGTGGTTTAGCGTGGTCTGTTCTCTTTTCCACAGCGATATTCGTCATTGTGAGTCCACAAACTTTTGACTACGCATACTGTGACGACGAATATCGTTGTATATAAGAGTACAGACCACGCTACCCACTGTCGATTTGCTTTTTATTACAATATCGACGTTGTTATATAATTCCTCTTCGAATAACCTCAGTACTGGAGTACTTAGAATTGTGTCTTCGACAGACGGATTTCTTTACAATTTGGCAAAGACGATTACAAGCGTCGAAAGCGATTCATCCCACACTTTTCTTACACACTTTTCTTTTTCCTTTGAAAAAAATACACGTTCACAAACTATTGAAAACTGAGACAAGAAAGATACACGAGAAGAAAACGCGATTGTGCGATATGCTCGAAAGAAAAGCGCTCGTTAATTACCGGCTTTCTTTGCATTAGTAGAGGAACTACTAAGATAGACCGTATTTCTGCCGAATTCTGCATTCACTAATCTTTCTACTGTAGTATCTTATAAGTAAATAACCGAACATATCTGTGATTACTCACCATGTAGGAGTTTTAGAGCAACCATTATTCGTTCTTTGATATCCACTCTTTCCTCCTTAGGCTTGAAAAAAACTTCAACCTTTGGCATTTCTTTTAAAATTCCTCTGTGTACTTTGCCAAATGCTCCTCTGCCTAGTTCGATTTGATCTCCTTCGAGGTCAAAACGACGGTTAGACTGGATGTCATGTTTAACAGCAATCAGCAATCTATCTGTCGTTACGAGAGTTGTTATATCCAGTTAGTAATTCAGATTATAGTATTGTATCGTTGAGGCAGGTCTCGCAAATCGGTACAAGTGGCGGTAAACCAACTGTTGTAAAATAGTTAATTTGCATATTTTGCGCGAAGGATTACCATCAAGCGGGACGAAAGCTTTGACACTTCCTGCATTTGAATAAAGGCCACTCAAACCGGCACTGGTTTGAATGCTTAGCTTTCTTGGAGGTCCTGGGTTAGGAAAAATGTCGCCACTGAGGGATAAGCAGTTAAGTTGGAATGTAGTGGTGGAACTTGTATACGAACTGATCCTAAGACCAAAATAATTTTTTACTTTTCATTCGGAGGAAATCAGTTTTGCATGGCAGTGAGCTGTAGTAAGTTGAAATGTGTCTCTGGAATCCATATGTAAGCAAGTTGGAAGTCCTAGGAGTGTTATAAACGCGAATATGTTTCTGCCAGTCGAGAATCCACAGGCTGAACAACAAGAAAATGAGAATTGCCTCGGACTGCATGACGCCATGACCGCCCGCCATATTGGTTTTCGGTATAATTGCCTTTTGTGACCACGTACCACCCAGCAATAAAAAATTTCAAACAAATATTGATAGAACATTGGAGTCTGATACACTATCAGCCTTTGCTGAAAAAAATTTCAATAAAAACTCTGATCGTTTCTTACTAAAAGGGAAAATCCCTTAACGGCACGTTTGTGAAGGCAAAAATATAATTTGAAGGCGATTGTAGACACGAAAATTTCCGTTTCTATTTATTGTCTAGCAACTTCGAAATTATTTTATATTGTTTTTCTTTCTACAGTACTACTAGTTCTGTTTCTGTTCAATTAAGTTAACGTTTCTGCGTGAATTTATGTAAGAATTACGTAACTCCGGTAGCTGTCTACTTTAGCCAGTGTGCGCGTTGTTTTGGTTAGATAATATTCATTGCAAGTTGATTTCAACTAAGTCAGTCCTTTCTTTTAGTTTTTGCTAGTGCCGTGTTCCTTTTATTTTAGAGGTTTACTGCCGGACCTAGTTCCGCCACAATTTTTAAGTCCGTTTCTATGTCATTTAGTTTTTTTCATTGTTTTTGTTGTTGTTATATTTTGTACTTAAATGATGAACTTGATGATGAACTTTATAAATGTGTCAATTATAAAATAGCAGTAATAAAACCACTAAGGACACAACAAGATAATTTAAATAAAATAATAAATAACTAAGTATTAATATACGATTAAATAGCATAAAATCAAAAATTAAACGAGACTTACCTTAAGTCGATGTTTGATTGGGATTCTGCCGAGTCATCAGTAGCACAAGAAGTCACGTGAGAAAGCACCAGCCGCTCAAGTGGTCAGTCTTTAAAGCCTTGAGTGTGCTAATCAGGTGAATAGTAGCACAAGAAGTATGGGCGGGTATAAATATCTCTACAGGGTATGGGCGTGACTTCTTGTGCTACTGATGACTCGGCAGAATCCCAATCAAACATCGACTTAAGGTAAGTCTCGTTTAATTTTTGATTTTATGCTATTTAATCGTATATTAATACTTAGTTATTTATTATTTTATTTAAATTATCTTGTTGTGTCCTTAGTGGTTTTATTACTGCTATTTTATAATTGACACATTTATAAAGTTCATCATCAAGTTCATCATTTAAGTACAAAATATAACAACAACAAAAACAATGAAAAAAACTAAATGACATAGAAACGGACTTAAAAATTGTGGCGGAACTAGGTCCGGCAGTAAACCTCTAAAATAAAAGGAACACGGCACTAGCAAAAACTAAAAGAAAGGACTGACTTAGTTGAAATCAACTTGCAATGAATATTATCTAACCAAAACAACGCGCACACTGGCTAAAGTAGACAGCTACCGGAGTTACGTAATTCTTACATAAATTCACGCAGAAACGTTAACTTAATTGAACAGAAACAGAACTAGTAGTACTGTAGAAAGAAAAACAATATAAAATAATTTCGAAGTTGCTAGACAATAAATAGAAACGGAAATTTTCGTGTCTACAATCGCCTTCAAATTATATTTTTGCCTTCACAAACGTGCCGTTAAGGGATTTTCCCTTTTAGTAAGAAACGATCAGAGTTTTTATTGAAATTTTTTTCAGCAAAGGCTGATAGTGTATCAGACTCCAATGTTCTATCAATATTTGTTTGAAATTTTTTATTGCTGGGTGGTACGTGGTCACAAAAGGCAATTATACCGAAAACCAATATGGCGGGCGGTCATGGCGTCATGCAGTCCGAGGCAATTCTCATTTTCTTGTTGTTCAGCCTGTGGATTCTCGACTGGCAGAAACATATTCGCGTTTATAACACTCCTAGGACTTCCAACTTGCTTACATATGGATTCCAGAGACACATTTCAACTTACTACAGCTCACTGCCATGCAAAACTGATTTCCTCCGAATGAAAAGTAAAAAATTATTTTGGTCTTAGGATCAGTTCGTATACAAGTTCCACCACTACATTCCAACTTAACTGCTTATCCCTCAGTGGCGACATTTTTCCTAACCCAGGACCTCCAAGAAAGCTAAGCATTCAAACCAGTGCCGGTTTGAGTGGCCTTTATTCAAATGCAGGAAGTGTCAAAGCTTTCGTCCCGCTTGATGGTAATCCTTCGCGCAAAATATGCAAATTAACTATTTTACAACAGTTGGTTACCATTAACATTTCCAAATCCATTCCTCTAACTGCCCTCTTAAATGTTTGTATTAATTATTTATTTTCAGTCGAATCACACACATCCTCAAATCTTTGCTTCTAAATACACGTCCATCTCGAAAATAAATTAAATGTGTACCGCTTTGTGACGTTAAACATGTAATTATTTCTCTATTCTGCGTTTTCACGTGACGTCGTAAGCCTAATTGAAACACTGTCCGCCATATTGGTGGACGGGAAGCTCATTTGCATATGCGATAATGGGACGCAACCACAAAAGCCACATGGGGAGTCCGTGCAGGTCTGTTTTTACCTTGATTCTCGTGTGAAACGATTTTAAACGTTTCCCCTTCGACGGTCACCCAAGTGCCGAGAGGAGCCAGGTGGTGTGCGGCCTACGACCGCAGAGTATTATTTTCACACATTTCCAACATGGCGGTCCTACCATGTGGTTGCGGTGTTTCGAAGAGGAAAGTTCAAGTCCTTTTTCCCTAATGCCACACTATGCGGACTAGGAAAAACTGAGAGTTGAGAGATAAATTTTTCCTCAATATCTTCAGGCTATTGCTTTACGATTTATCTTTTCGTATTTTATAGTAAGAATTAGAGGACCTTTTTCCGAGGGTGCAAATCCCTATTCCATGGGTGCACCGGACCCAAAAGGCAGACCTTATTATTTCCCTTGGACAGGACTAATCATTGAGTTAATCGCACCTCAGTGCACCTCTCGCTATTTCTCCGAAAACCGTGCTGTTGAATTTGACGGTTTTTCGCTTCGCGAACTTACGTGCTGTAATATTGTTTCCTCAGGCGAAGACCGACTCCGGTAACATAGCCTCACAGTATCGGAGAAACTGTGACAGATAAGCAGCAATGAGCAAAAGAAGGCATTTTGGCAGTAATGGGAATACCCGAGGTAAGATAGCCCCGAAAAAAAGCTCAAACGAACAACGAAAAGCAACGTCGAAAAAAAGACCAGCTCGAAGGAGTTTGATTTCCAGCGCAAGCACCTCTTCTACTAGTATCATGCGACTCGAAGAATTGACCAGAGATGAAACGTCAGCATTGGTCGAATATGGGGCACTGTACTGGGAAGGATCACAACAATGGCTAGCAAATATTTTGAAACCAAAGTTTCTGGGAGGCTTACCATAAGGTGATTGTGGATGCCACTTCGACAGCCTATTTTTTTAATTTCCACACCTGTCCTCTTTTCCCTTCTCTTTCCAATGCTATGCTTTTTATCAAGTGGCTTTTGACGACTGATTAAAGTTTAGGAGAATTCCGAGATTTAATGTTCCATTTTTGCGTTTCGATTCTCCGCATTGTTCATTTACTCACCTTAGCTGCTCCCAAAATTGAAACACTTCGACTGTTCTCAGGCAAAGGGCCTCCAGTTATGAAATTTTGGACCAAAATCTAGACCAAAACTATGAGCCTTCGATTTTCTAGTCTCTTAGTCCAATCTTTTACGTCCTCTTGTTCAGCAATCTTTGCAGGTAGGACCAGAAATCCATCAAAGACAACAAAAGGTTTCACGAAACTGCAAATAAGTAGTTCCAAATGTCCGGTTCAAATGCCTAGAGAACTGTTGTATTAAAATCGATTTAAAAAAAAAATTAAACTCTTACAGTTAGAAAATAAAAAATGCAAGCAGACGGGGTTTAGAAACGCCCGAAGGGGGTTTAATTGGTGAAACAAATCTGCACCCAGTCGCTAGATTGTACCTTTCGGATCGACCAGCTACAATTCGCCGAATACTTATCGTCAAAGCCTTGTGTAGCCAGCAAGTAACGTCTAAAGCAGCCGTTTTTCCTTTGAGGCAGCCAGTGAAAGTTTCTCTCTTCACCTTTTTTAAATACAATGACAAAGTAGTGATTGCTCAATTGATCTAGTCAGTCATATAACAAGGTGACTTTATTCTCGCGAACGCGGAAGTAAACGACAAAAATACGTAGTCAATAGAAGATAGTCAATTGTAGAAACCACATGAGGGTATAAAAAGCCGGTTCTCGATCAAGATTGCAAAGATTTACACACACGGTGAGCCTTCCTTTTCTGTAATGCAGAAAATACTGAGCAATGCATCCTAGTTGAGCGTGGCCCTTTAACTAAAGGGCGGATTGCTGAAAAATTAGTTTTTGAGACAAGTTGCTATTGTTTTGTTGTTGTTGATATTACCTTTTTCTGAGAATATGAACATTTTTAATTTTTTTTTTTTAAAGTGAGGTTGTCAATACCTTCTCCAAACAAAGTATAGGTGGCAAAAATTCAATTCCTCCTGATTTCAAGGTTCTTGTTTTTTTTCACTGTCACGCGCAGGGATATATCACAACTGGCAATCTAAATAGAGTTGCTTGTGAATTTGACACTTGATAAGAAGTTAGTGTTTGTAAGAAAGTGGAAAGTATAGTCTTTAAAAACCCCTTTATTATATAGAGTACAATAAGAAAGGTAACCAAAGGTAACCAAAAGTGGTCAACATAAAATTGACCCACCTTGAGGTATTTTTGTTCCATACACTTCTACTCTAAGAGCGTTGTGAATATGATAGTCAATTGGCTGGAACCGAATGAACTGTGTTCTTGCCACGTCTACCAAAACGTGTTGTACCATTTCATCGCCGTGTGAATTACCAAAAAAAATCTGTAACATGATTGTTTGGCAATTAATTTAATCTTTTCCTTCTCTAACTAAGGACTGAAGGTTGATTGACGTATCCCAAACTTTACTTCATATCAAGGTCACTTTTAAATAATCTAACGTAAATGCAATTCAATTATTGTTTCCTGAAGACACTGCTTAAGCAATCGATCCTGTTGAAACTCAGTAAGTTGTATTCACCTTCTGTATGGGGGACTATAAAATAAACCTTTTTTGCACACATAAAATAAAATAAGATAAAATAAAATATAAATGAAAATTAACATTCACATAGGTGATAATCAAACAAGATGGCACTAAAAAAGTTCTTCATTACTTCCGCGTCAGTGGGACCTGGAGGATGTTTCACTTAGGAAACAACAAAATGCTTCTATTTCGGGTTTACTTTTCTCATGTCTTTTCCGTTTTGTTTTCTTTATAGATGATCCAATTCTTGAGAAACAAATGCACCTTGTAGCTCTTGGTCCACTCCCAGCTATATGGATTTCCTTGAGTAGCTACAGAGCAAATCAAGACCACGTCACCCACGTTAATTTCCAGGTAATCATCAGCATTGTCGTCGCTGCTGGGTGACCATGCACCAATGTTACTCCGAAGTCGTGCTTGATGAGGTTCATTTCCCTTACGGAATGATGAGACTGAGAAACTTTTGTTTGGGAAGATGTTAGGGTCCGCCACCCTAACTGTCTGCGTCTGACACACTGCAAGATAAACAAAAAAAAAACTAAAATAAGAATAAAAGATCAAATTAACCCCCTCAATTCCAAGAGTAACTAAAACGAAATTTCTGTTAAAAATATCAATGTAAAGAAGCAACGGGAATATAGAACCACATCAAATCTCAAGAGCTAAAACGATGAGAAATGCAAAGAAGGTGCAGAGAATTGATATGTTGATCCTGGTAGTAAAAGGGTTAAAGGACATATCCGGTAAAGTCCAAATAGAGTAACCTTTAGAAAGATTTTAATCTTAAAAGTAACATGATAAAAAAAACTATCTTCGGGCGAACCCCTAATAACGGCACTTCCTCAAGACAGGCACCTTTCTTCAACGGCTACTTGCCATTCTCTTTAAAGTAGCTGTTGCAGAGAGGTTCCATCACAGCAAAGAAGTAGGATCTTAAGTCATCAGATAAAATGCTTTCTCTGGAAAAATCTTCCACAGCGCGTTTGATTGTTCCGTGTTCTATTACTTTAATCACCTTGAAAAAGTATTGTCGCGTATTTTTTAAACAGAACGGAATAACTTGACTTTCAAGAGAGAGAATGATTTTTTTTATGGCTTGCGGACCGACTAATCTCTTGTTATATTATAAGCTGAATCACACACCACTGATAACTTTTTTTTGTCTTTGAAACTATAAAAAACGGCAACATGGAATCCATTTGAACACTTACCCAAGTACTTTAACGAAAATCTCACGAATGAACGATAGAGGAACGATAGAGTATACTTAATGCTAATGCCATACTTTAAGCGTGAAAACCAAAATAGGAACTTTAGTGGAGATGCTATAAAAGGTCAGTAGACAAAATAACCCTGAACACCAAGGGAGGCTATTGTTCGATTGCCAATTGATTCAAGCGTCAAACCTGTTAAACCTAAAGACCTAAAGGCTTAAAAAAAAACACACACAAGCAAAACAGTCAAATTAGAAAACTCTTTGAGAGGACTGAACTCCGAACGAACTTGGACTTTGAACATGGGGGAAACCCTGGAAAACCCCTAGCCCAGAGCTAACATGAACTCTTCGCAAATATTCCATTTTCTTTCAATGACAGCAGCCTTATCATCTTTGCTGTGCGGTATTGCCAAAAAAAGGAAATGTCAGTGTTAAGAAAAATTACTTGGTAGCATTGCACGCACCATCGTCATTTTTTAATAACACCACATGAGATAATGATAAAAACATAATAACTCATAAATGTTCCGCACCCATGCCGTCTCTACTTAGTAATGGGGAAGAGTAAATTTTGATGATGTACTCCAAATTTGAACTCGATGATTGGCAATTCTATGGTCTGAGAAATGATAAAATAATGTGTGACGTGAAATTACAACTGCCTTACTTGATCTACACGTGGAGAAAACTTCGACTTCGCACAGGATCAATATTTCTGATGTCCCCAGTATGCTAATGAATAAATGCCTGCCATGTGGCCTCATTTTACAGCGGAAAAACTTCCCCTTTCCTCGATGGACGCGAAGACCACTCCCGCAAAGGTTATTAGTTGCTCCTCTTTGTGTAATGTCATTTCCTTTGCCATTTCCTAATTGACCACAACATCTTAATGACTGAGTTACGAAAACTAGAGGTTGATCCAGCGCTCATTAGTTGGATCGAGGCGTTCCTGACCGACAGACAGCAAGCTGTAAGAATAGGTACAACACTATCAGAATGGAAATTCCTCAAGGGAGGTGTGCCGCAGGGAACTAAATTAGGAGTGATACTTTTCACAATAATGACAAACAATCTTTTAGCTGATCGGCACCTGAGAGTCAAGTTTGTGAATGACACGTCTGCCATAGAAATACTACCCAGGAACTCTATCAGTTTGCTCAGTACGATCGTTTCTAACATTCACGACTTCTCCATGGACCATAACACGAGACTAAACCCTACTAAATGTAAAGAGATGTCAATTAACTTTATGTCGTATCCTAATTTTACTCTCAGACCATACACCTTTGCCATAATGGCGGAAAATCGGATGGAGGTCTGAGACTGGTTATGAATAATTTCACCAAAGCGAGGCCACCCGGGCAACACTTATGGCGTCTAACGCGAATACAAAATCTTATAATTCCTCGAGCTTTCTAACCGAAAATGACATCCCTGGAGCTTCTTTAGGAGATAGGAATCCCTCACAATTGAAGAATGAGGACTTGAAATTCTGGTTGAAGTGCAGAGGTGACACAGCGAAAGGTTTAAAGACAAAAGCAGAGCTTGTGAAAAGGTTAGTTTCGAGCACAAGATGCGTACTTCGAGGTGTTTTGATTGCTTGAGAAAATTGTCAGTTGTGATTGCTTACACTTAAATTGACCTAATTTCTTATACTTTAGGGTCCTTGAATACATCAAGAGCGGAAAGGATAAAAACATCATTGATCCTGATCCCAACAATCTTTATTCTAAACGAAAACAACTACGCTCGGCAAACAACACAGGTTCACAGTCCACCGCTAAACGACATGTTCCCGTCAAGTTCCCTGAATCTATGTGGGGCTACTCACTTCAGAAGATGCCTCTGTTTACCAGAACGGAATTAAACAATCCTATAACAAGTTATGGGGTCTAGATAATTGTAGATTTCCATTAAAACAGCGTTGTTAGGAAACGAAGTGTAGCAGGACAC